AAAACTGGTACCTACCTTCAAAACATTTGATACTTTGAATTCTAGTGTTTATTATTCATTATTATTTATTTCAATTGTGCTGATTTTTGGTGAGCAAACCTCAGACCCGTTGATATTGCCCGTTATTCTTAAAAATTGCTTGAGTGCAAAAAAATAAAATAAAATAAAATAAATAAAATTGCTTGTGTGAGCAGAGAGGTCACCTTTTCCAGGACTGTTCATTTTCAGGCTTGTGGGATAAATAAGATCAACCAATTGAAGTGTTCATAATGACTTTCCATTTGGCCCTGAAGTTCTAATACATGACTGCTTCACTCCTGGACTCTGACTTGCAGTGGGAGATGGAAGTTTTTCAGAGAACTGAACTGTGGAAAAATGGCCTTTTCTTAACTTGAAGCTACTGATGTGAGGGTCAGGACCAAAAGAAGAGGAATATCAGGTTGGAGTCATGATGACATGTGGTCAGAGTAATGACTAACTCCAGAGGTGGCTTCGTTGAAGAGACAACATGCATTTTAACATTAAAATTCTTGTCAGAAGATCCCAGAAAAATTCTAAATTCCATTGGCAGTTAATTATTCACAGAAAAGTGTATGCATCAGAATACTGCTCTCTTTTTATTTTATTTGTACTTTTTGGCCTGGGATATGGGTTTTAAATGGACATTGTCTGTACCAGCTTCATTAAAATAAACAAAATATTTGTAAAAAAAAAGAAATTGAATATTCTTAATAATGTAGAGAATGATAGGCTGTTTCCTCCCACAACGATCCCAGCCTCAGAAACCTGATGGACAGTTGCTATGACTCTGACCAGCAATGGGTGTAGGTTTTAGAACCTGTGGTGGATCTGTGGGCTGAGCATTGTGCTACTAACCGAAAACTTTGCAACTGGAACCAACAGTTGTTCTGGAGAAAAAAAAAGGCAGTCTGCTCCAATAAAGGGAACTCTGGGAGTCTAGTCCATAAAGAGTTTTGCTACTAACCCAAGGGGCACATCTCTGGTGGTTCAATCCCACCAGTAGCTCAGCAGGGGAAAGATGCACAGTCTCTGTCCATATGATTCACAGGCTCAGAAACCCAATGGGAAGTTAGCTGGGCGTTCATTCTGAGACTCAGTGGCAGTGAAGGTTGAGTGAGTGAGCTCCTGTAAATATGTATAGTCTCAGAAACCACAAAGGGCAGTTCTTTGTCTGTCCTGTGGTATCACAATGAGCCAAAATTGACTAGACAGCAAGGAGTAGTAAGTAGAGTATCTTGTTGTATTGTTGTTATGTGCCATCGAGTCGCCTGCGACTCATAGCGACCCTATGTACAACAGCCCTATACTCCGCTCTGTCCTGTGCCAATCGCACTGTCTCTGACACTCCCATCCCAATTACCCCAGTCACTGAATCAATCCACCTCATAAAGGGCCTTCCCCTCCTGCACTGTCCCTCCACCCTCCCAAGCATGATGTCCTTTTCCAAGGACTGGTCTCTCCTCACAACATGTCCAAAGTCTGTTAGACGGAGTCTCAGGATCCTTGCCTCCAAGGAGCCACCCGGTTTAAACCTTTCCAGGACAAATCTGTTTGTTTTCCTAGCAGTCCATAGTATTCTCAATACTCTTCTCCAGCACCACAGCTCAAGGGCATCAGTTCTCCTTCTATCCTCCTTGGTCATTGTCCAACTCTCTGATGCATAACAAGTGATTGCGAAGACCATGGCCTGTATCAGACGCACCTTGGTCTCCAGAGAGACACCATTGCTCTTCAGTACTTTGGAGAGGTCCCTAACAGCAGACTTTCCCATGGGAATGCGCCTTTTAATTTCCTGGCTGCTGGTGCCAAGAGTGTTGACTGTGGAGCCAAGCAAACTAAAGCTGTGTACAATCTCAATCTCTTCACCATCCATCCTGATGCTGCCAATTGGTCCAGTGGTGAGAATCTTTGTCTTCTTGACATTGAGCCTCAATCCATATTGGAGGCTGCAGTCCTTGACCCTCTGCAGCAGGTGCTTCAGGTCCTCTTCATTTTCAGCTAGCAGGATCTTACAAGCTTTTAAAAGTCTGTTCATGGATCAAAGTTTTTGCCTTCTTGGAAAAGCATTATACTGTAAGAGTCTGGTTCATTTATTCATTGCTATCCAGTTGGGACTGATTCACAGCTGGTGCTCCAGCAGGTTTCTGAGGCTGTAAATCACACAGGAAGAGATTGCCCATCTTTCCCCGGCAGAGCCACTGAGGGATTCAAACCTCTAGAGGGGTTTTGATTACCTGCCTTTGGATTAACAGCCCATCTCCCTGCAGATTATGTCACCAGAGCTCCCTCTGAGGATTTGAGTACATGTTGTAATTCATTAATTCCATTCTTCAGTTGTAATTAATGTTATATAAAATGTCTGTGTGTGATTGAATGAAAACCCGTTATGATTTGTAAACTTTCACTCAAACTAAATTTTTTAAAAATCTTTTCCTTCTCTCAGGCATAACTATGGTCTTGAGTTTTACAATCATTATTTTACTTTTCAAAAATAGTAAATTAACTATATATGAAATACTGACAGCACATTTAATTTTCTTTATTTTGCTTGGTTTTGATCTTTATATAAACATGATCATACTCTATTTTTCCAGTAGGATGATTATGTTTTGCTTTTATTTTTAACTTTTTATTGTGATTTAGATGAAAGTTTACAAAGCATATTGATTTTTTACTCACTAATTCATAAACATTGTGGGACATTGAGTATAGTCCTCACATTGTAACAGCATTCTTTCTCCTTTCTCCCTGTGTTTACAGTTTTTATTTAACCTTCTTTCCTTCTAGCTTTTGTCCTGCTCATCTGATCTTGTAAGATTGATTGTTCTGAGGAATACTTACCTCGCTGGTGTTACTGCTTATCTATAGGCCTGTCTCTTGTTTGGCTGAAAGTTGAGCTATGGGGATTGTTCAGTACCTTGCCTAAGGGATGTATGTCTAAGGGCTTATAGTCCTATGCTTCCACTAGTCCCTAGCAGGCTAGTAAGATGATTAGACCAGTAA